CTGCAGAAAACATCCTGCCTGCAGGAAACCCTGCAGGAAGCACAGTGAGCACTGGAACACACCGGGTAGAACCTCTGCTTTCAAAGTTCACTTGTTGGTCTGACAACTCCTACTTTGGCAGAAACTAATGTGAGGTGACAGAATATTTCAGTCACTGATTTCTGCACAGGGGAGGGAGAACTTAGCATAGCACCATACCCAACTTCCAAAGTTCCACTGAATCTCTCTCTCTCTGATTTTATTTTTTTATATGTTTTAGTTTTCAAACTTCTCTACAAGTAAATTATTGGAAAGCTAGTGATATGTGCAAAGAACATTTTTTCAATTAGCAATGCCCATTAGCTGAATGAGCATGAAGGGCTGATATTTTTCTCCCTGAATTAGCAGGTACACATGTGGAATTTGGGCTATAAATCATTACTTAATAATTCACTAGAGAATAAATAGGACATAAAAGATAATTAGAGATTTGTACAACTTGCCTTCACCTTAATTATGAATGAAAGATATTTGGCATTGTCTGCAGGACTGTTAAATTTTGTTATATTGAGATGGGTCTGGAAAAGGAAGATACAGCAAAGTCATTTTCTGAAAGAATATAGCTTCTGGCAGAGTGGATCTTGTACATCATTGCAGGAGAGATATCCAACAGTTATGATCTTAAAATCTAAATGCAATGTGCTGGACCAAGAATGGTGAACAGGTTTGTTGTGCTGTTTCAGTAATGACCTGTTGCCTGGCTCACAGAAACACATATGCCAGCCAATTTCACTGGAACAAAATTAATGTGGTATCTCCATGCTGTAATAATAGTTAACTTTGGCGAGCAGGAACAGTTGGATATTCTTTCCCATTCTAAGATTTGCTGGAAATACCTGGAGACAGAGGGTGTACCAATCATTTAAATTCCCAATGGATTTGAATGCTCTGCTGTAACATAAGCAGCACAGTCTGAAACACAGCTTTTTCCTTGCCCAGGCTTTGTTAACTTTCAAACAAGGGGCAGACTTTTGGTCCTGCTCTGTTCCCTTTGCTGCTGTTCAGCACCCAGGCAGGAATTCTCCTGCACACTGTGCACTGCCCTTCTCCTGCTGCTGGCCACATTTTGTCCCAGCTCAGGGACACCCAGGGCACACACCAGCCAGCCCAGCTGGTTCCTGCTTCTCACCATGCACTGGTGAAGGAATGCCTCACTGCCTTCTTCAATTACAGCAACCCCCACACTGCCTTCTCTTGTGAAACCCAAACCAGCCCTACCTGCTCCAAGATCAGGGACTACAACAGAGTGCAGGTGCCATGAGCTGGCTGGGGTGGAGTGATAGCTCCAGGTGTGCTGGTCTAGTATTTATCTCATGCAAATTAATTTGAATGTTAACTTTCTGTCCAGAATTCATCATTATTTGTTATCCAGGATGGACAGAAAAAAGCCCTTTGGGTCATCTGCAGTCACACTGTCACTTCCTGTAAAGAGTGAGGTGCAGAAAAACCCCCACCCACCCCTTTCTGCCCTGTGGTCAGCCACACATTGCCTGCTTTCCTTCACTTTGTAAAAGCAGAGTCTGCTTCCTCAGCTCTGCACAATTGTGACCATGCTCCTCTAACGACATAGTCCATGACAAAAATCCCAAACTTCTAAAAAGTGCCAATCCTTCCAGGAGCTGCCTACTTCAGCAAAAGGACAGAATTTTGAACAGAGAGTGGGAGACAGTGGCAGATGGGAGGATCTGGAATGCTGTACTGTCTTTCACTCTTGCCTCATCAGAAATAGCCCACTGAACTCTGATTTAGCTGCAGATTTCCTCAGAGCTCTGGATTAGACCCAAACAGACTGAATTAGAGTGTACCAGCCTGGAACAAAGACAAGCCAGGCCATCATCTGAGAAGATTTAGAAGATCTTTTCTGCTGGCTGGAGATGAAGAATTTTCTCCTCGTGATTTTGACAGCACACAAGCAGGGTGATGCCCAGCATGAACCAATTGCAGCTTGACCTGCAGCACCCCAAATGGTGAATTGTGACTGTGCACAGGTTCTCTAAAACACATTATTTCTGTCAGGCTCTGATTCAATAAGATCTTCCTGATGTTTTTCAGTTTACTTATTTATGACTCAGACTGATGTCTGGAGTTCGTTGAAGTGGCACAGGCAGGGCTGAGTGAGAAAGAAATCCAAAAAACATGAGTGGCTTGTCAAAGGCATGTTGGCAGCTGCTCTCAGAGTATCCCTTGATGATTCCCCAGAAATGTCAAGGAAGAGTAGTGGCAAGATTGAGCCATGGCAGTTCTGCTTGTCAGGGCAGATAGTGTGCTTTGGAGTGATGGAAATGATAGACAATGTCCTGAACACGCTGCTGAGATCTTAATAAAGGCACTGAACAGTCCCTAGGTTTTGGCATTAATTGAAGAATTCAATTCCTATATTGTTGACTGCCTCTACCACCCAAAACACAAGTAAATATTTAATTCTTGTGGGATAATGTGATAAGCCCTGCCTTCATTATGAGATGTGGAAATACTTAAAAAATTCAGAGACAATTCTCTGCTAGAGCAGACAAAAACCAGACTGACAAATAAGAGACTCTAAAGCTCCAGCTCATTTTCATTGAAGGTACAGACATAACAGAAACGTATTTCAGAATCTGTGAGCTTGCAAGTAGATATTATAACAGTTGGGAAGAAGGTCGCAGAATGCCACAAGAAACTCATCTCCCAGTGGGCTCCCATTGAGAACAACAGGTCTCAATTTATGCAAGGTGCTTAAGCATTCCCACTAATTGTAAGCATGCAAGTAGTCCCACTGCTTTCAGCTGGTGATTGCCATTAAGCACATGCTTAAGTGTCTTGGAAAATTAAGGTTTCAAGAGAGCTCTGTTGAGTTAGAATAGCTCAGTTATGATCTAAGACTTTAATGTTCTTTCCCACATCCAGCTAGATCTATAATCAATTAGAAGGTTTTCTCCTCTCACTGCAAGTGAAATATCAAAGTGATAAAAATATGTATTTTTTGGAAAAGATCTAGGTATACACAGACTTTAGGAGATGTAGATTGAATGTATGATCTTGCTTCTTCCACTTGATACCCCTGGCTCCCACAAGATATTGCTGGTGCATACCAGCTCTGCTCTTGGGCTCTCCATGTGGCACTCAGTTTTCACTGAGGCCGAGAAAGATTTCAGGTAATTTTTTCCTTCTGAGATAAAATGAATGCTATGCTTACAGGGACTGTTTTGTTTTAACATCTTTGTACTTGTCACCTTTTGGCACTGATTTTCACAAAATGAAGGCTGAGAGGCCCTGGGTGTTTGCACATCTTGGAGAACAGGGTTTGACAGCATTGTGTATGTGTGTGTGCACATCTGCACCAGGCTGTTAATAATAAGTTAAAAATAAAAGTTAGTGTAAAAGCATCAGTGGATTTGAGGGGTCAGGCTGAATACCTAGCCAGCTAAATCAAACACCTTTCAGCTAAGTTCTTAACTCATTTCTTTTGTAACTCTTCATCATAATGACTTAAAGAACCAAGAGAATCCTGAGTTCTGAACCTAGATATGACTTCTGCTTCAATTTGCCTCATGGAAAAAACTTACCAGGAGGTTCTAGCAAGAAGCAGCATCTTGATTTGTGTGAGGTATAACATTTTGAAGCAGTCAATTCCCATGTGTCTGAGCACTAGGGGAATCTGGCCATGAATCCGTGCTGAAACAGCTTTTCCATGGCTTCAGCTCCACCTCTTCCAGCTCAGTCCTCACACTGGTGATCTGCACTGCTCCTGCCAGGCACTACAGCATAACACACACCATGGGGATTTGTCTCTGCCCTTCATCCAGTCCTTGTTTTTCCTTCCTCACACAGGTCACCCTGCAGTTTGCAGATGACACAGAGTCAAAAGTACCAGAAAGGAAGGCAAGGACATGAGATAAATCTATACTGGAGAAATCAAGCCTTAGTAGCAGTTCATGTGTCTAAAATTTACAGGATTAAAAAGAAACTCATTAAAGTCTTCTTTTTGACCACTGCTGTCCCTGCAGGGTGACACTGCAGGGATTCAGGTGCGTCTTCCAGCAAGGCACATGCAATGTGGTTCAACTCCAGCAAGAAAAAATCAAAGTGAGAAATATGTCCCACATCACAACTTTTCTGTAAGGGATAAATATTTAACAAGCTCCTTCCAAATCAGGCAATTTGCCTTGCAACCCCAGCAGAGGTGGCCTTCCCTTTACAGACTCTGAGGGACTGTTCCCTGCTCCTCCCCATGCAGGAGAAGATAGCCCTGTGCTTTGGCTGGACAGACTGGGCCTGATGAGACAGCTCCTCTTTGTCTTGGAGGAGCACTGTTGCTCTCTTTAAAGGCCACCTGCATTCTGTGCGCTGTTTATCAGCTACGTAAACACAAGGATCTCAGAACCCACTTTAAGGACAGCAGTGGGGGTTCAGGGGCATTTACCCTGCACAGGTTTCCCTGGAGAAGCTCCTGTGCTCAGGCGTGCCCCTGTGATGGGCCAGAGTGCAATTCCCTTGCTGGCCCTGGTGAGTAATTATTTGTCTAAGGGCACTAATTGTACCCACACATCTCTACGTCTGGCACCCCTACCTGGGGCTTGCCCTGTGCCTTCCTGGATCCATGGCCTTTCTGCACTGCCACCCTGCCCCAGGCTCCCCAGCACCCCTCATCCTCACCAACATCACTTGCACACACAAGCCTGGCCTGACTTCTCTTCTAGGAGCCTTTTCAGTGTGCCAGCTTCTCTAGGAAAAGTGCAGGGGTAGTCTCAGCCACAGGCACTTAGAACTCCCACTTTGCTTCACTTCCTTGAATTTATCCTCATCATTCATTAGCTCCTTCTTTTGCATGACAGTCATATTTCCTCTTTCCCTGTGTTGCTAGCTTGGTTCTCAAAATACCAGCATATAAAAAAACAGAGGTAAATAAATCATCCCTAAAACCAACATGGTACTCTGGAAGGAGCTAGGTGTGGTGCTCTTCAGCATTCCCTGCAAATAATTTCTTCATTATTTTTTTTTGTCTTGCTTTGCTGCTGGTTTGGGTTGTTTTTTGTTTTTTTGGTTTTTTGGTTTTTTTGGTTTTTTTGTTTGTTTTTTGTTTTGTTTTGTTTTGTTTTGTTTTCTGTTTGCTTTCTCTACTGTTACTTTCTCCTCTTCCTGCTTCTTGCCCTCTGTCCTTCGCTATTATATTCACATCAGTTGATCCTGGCAGTTTGTGACACGGAGCAGTAAAATGGGACATTAGTGACAGACAGCCAGCAGGACAGCCAGCAGGACAAACAGCAGGACAGTCAACAGGACAGACAGACAGACAGCAGGACAGACAGCAGGACAGCCAGTAGGACAGACAGTCGACAGGACAGACAGACAGCAGAACAGACAGACATCAGGACACCCCTCCTGCCGCGGGCTCAGCCCTGCCCTGCTGCCCTGCAGCAGTGCAGAAGCAACTGCAGGGTTCTGAGCAGGGTGGGCTNTGAGCAGGGTGAGCTCTGAGCAGGGTGAGCTCTGAGCAGGGTGGGCTATGAGCAGGGTGAGCTCTGAGCAGGGTGAGCTCTGAGCAGGGTGGGCTATGAGCAGGCACAGCATCTGCTCACACGTGTCATGAGGAAAACCCGTTCTGTAAGTGCTGAGCACAAAAGAAGGAGTCTGTCAGATTTTCCATCAGCAGGAAAGGGCTGCCAAAAAGACTAGGGCAGAAAATGAAGTCCTGAATGATTTTCCCATTTCTGCTTTGCTCTAAAGGATGCACAGTTACTGCTTAGTCCCAGCTTATGATCTCTTGCCAGCAGCAGCTGATTTTCTGAAATGGAGGATAAGAGCTGCTGACAGCTGTGCCCTGCACAGGAGCTGCCAAACTGCAGCCCAGGCTGCCAGGCTGCTCCAGGCCAAACAAGACATGGATGACACACATAATGAGATACTAAAGGAAATAGCATGTATCATGGATTCTAAGGAGAGCTGGCAGAGCACAGGGATGCCCTTCTGTTCTCAGACACAGAATGGAGGAAGGCTGAGTCTTTATTAAAGCTCTGCTCCTGAAGCTGAAAGGGGAAAATGAGGAAATGTAGCAGCCCAAGTAGAACGAGGGGAATGAGGAGCTGTGCCAGAGCGATCATGCTGCAGTGGCACCTGGCTGTGGGTTTGGAATAGGGAAAACTGGCAGTGGAATAGAAAAGGCGTGGAGAGAACAGGGAAAGGTACAGAGCAGTGGTAAAGCAGCAGAAGCCTAGACTCAGTTTTGGGGTAAAAGAAAGAAGGAGAAACAGTAATTGCTGTATTATGATAGATCCACACATCTAACTTCAACAACCAGTGCCACCGCAAAAGTGGAACAAAATCACTTGGGCCAATCAGGAAGAATTAAAATCTTGCAAATGCTACGCGTATTCTGGAAGATGTTAGTCTTATATAAGTGAATAAAGAATGTATTGAACTTACACTTGAAAGTGTAATGGCATTCTTAAAAAAAATTCAAAAAACAAAAAACAAAAAGCAAAAAACAAAAAAAACCCCAAAAATAACAAAAAAAACCAAACAAAAAACAAACAAACAAACAAAACAAAACAAAACAAAACAAACAAACAAAAAAAAACGAAAAAAAAAACCAACAAGAAAAAAACCAAAAAAACCCCCAACAATTTTCTCTCTTTATAGTAAA